AGAGAAGAAGAGGAGGAGAAAGGGGAAAAGGAGATTCCGCACCTCCTCGACCACCGTCGGAGCTCTTCCTGCCGCCTGAAGACGCCGGAACTTTGCCGGATTTTCGGGAAATGCCGGGAATTTGCAGAACTTTGTAACTTTGTGAGAAGTTGATTGTAAATTGATCGTCTTGATTTATAAGACGGATCAACCTTTGTACTTCAAACGAATACTAGTGGAACTTTGCAGCTGGGCAAGCCCCCGTGGTTTTTTCCCTCTTTTGGGTTTTCCTCGTAAAAATCTTGGTGTTCATTTTCCCTTTTCTGTTTGTGTGCGGAATACCCGTGCAACGCTAAGACGAATATTTCCTAACTCTACTGCCGCGTATATTCTGGCACGCAACAATTTCTATATAACATTATATTCACATCTCATATTTGTCTAAATATCATTTACAATAATCAAGAATCGTTAATACTTCAATGACTACAAAATAATAAATGTAACTAATACGAAAAAAAAAGTACCAACGCCAGCACTCATAAATCCTCACTCCATTGGGGTCTTATCCTTTCTTTAAATATATTAACAACATAATGAGCTAACAACCCAGCAAGTTACACAAAGCCTACAATTGTATTAAATACACGAAAAAATTAAATAATATACACATAATCATTCAAATTAAATAAGCATGAACAATAATAATCGACATGGACAATATCAATCAATATGAGCAATAAAAATTTAATTCATACAATGTTCTCTTCTTAAAATTAATTCAAAAACTCTAAATCTCTAAACCTAAATTTATTTAAAAAATTCATTGAAATAAGGCTTCATTTGGGGCGGGTGTTTCTTGCTGCTTCTTAAAACAATTTTCTCGTACAAAAATTTAATTTTTATACCTAAAAGTTGTTTTAAAAAACAATAAGAAAGTCATCCCAAACGAAGCCTATGATTCAGGTTTTATTTGGGACGACTTTCTTGCTACTTCTTAAAGCAGCTTTCTTATACAAAAAAATTAATTTTTGTACTAAAACTGCTTTAAGAATCAATAAAAAAACCGTCCCAAACTAAGCTTCAATCTCAAATTTTTTATGATAACTTTTAATTAAGATCAATGGCACCATACCTAAGTTTATATACATTTAATATTGAATTACAAATTTAATAGAGTTAAAATTAGATATCATATTTTCTCTCATTATTGCATGCTAATATGATCATAATAATTAGATTATCTTTTTAAAGAAAAATGATTTCTACTCTAAGTGGTTTAGAAGTAATTAATTTATCTTTATTTCATAATGAAGAAATTAAAAATAATTATCTGCCATCTCCCTTTTCTGTCCACAACGCTAAGAATCATCACTTGCTCCAATTGCAGCGCTGGAAGCCATCGATAGCAAGAGGCGCTGAGCGTGCCTATCTATTCATTATGAGGGCAAATATTTTGTCTGTATTT